AGCGCCCCTGTGCCCCCTGCTTTGGCTGGGGCTCTGTGGTTTTCCTCAGCTTGTACCATTTTGTCATTAGGATCCCTGTGCAACCTGGGCTCGGCGGCTGCGAGTTTGTGGCTTGCTGGGTAACGCTGTCACGTGTGGGGTTTTACAGGCGTCTCCATGGCCCTGGTGCCGAGGAAGCGCCATTTGCAGTGTGCAGTTAATTGCCTTCTGAGCAATTACCCATAGCGCCTCCATTGTGGCAGGGGAGGAAGCGGGTGGCTCCACGTCCACGCTCCTTCATCTCGGGCAAGGGTGGCTGCTGCAGGTGGCAGGTGGCAGCTGGACATGACGTTGCTGGAGCTGGAGGAAGGGGTAGCATGGATGCATCCTTGCGTCTAGCTGCCCGCTGCTACGTAGCAGTGAGCTGCTTGGGAAAGAAGTAAATTGCTTTTTGCTGGTTGTGAAACATTCAGGCGTTGCCTGGATCTTGTGGCCGTAGGTTGGTGTCCAGCAAGCAGCAATGAGCTACCAAGTGTAGAGTACAAGAAGCACGTGGGCAAGGGTTGCGCCTGCCAGCGGAGCACTTGTTTAATAGTGAGTAAGTCGGGGGATGTCAGATGGTTGTGAAATCATCTGGCTTCCCAAAATAGTTGTAGTTGGGGTGTTCGGCGCTCTCATCGTGTAATGCTTGGCCAGTAGCCGTGAGAGCAGCCTCTGCCTCGGCGTCCCCGCGGCTGCACGCGAGGCTGGAAGGTGTTCAGGAACACGTAAGCAGGGAGCAAACACGAAACCACAGGAGCTCGCGGCCTGGTGGCCCCCGAGGTTTAACCCTGCAGGAGGGCTGGGAGACCTCGTGCAGTCACAAGCATCCTCCACACCCAGGAGCTGATTTTGGAATAAAACTTGCCCTGCTACTGCCAAAATCTCCCCTGGGCAGTCATGGCGATGCTGGTGCTGCAAGAAGCAGCAAACTAGAATGAAGGGCACCATTTCTACCAGTGGGTGGACCTCAACTTGACCCAAGTGACAGTGTGACCAGAGCCACCGATGATCAGGTTTGTTCTTTAGGACACAACCAAGGGGTCTGCCTGTGTCATCCAGGACGTGCTCTCTCCTGGAAATAACATAAAAAGTGCTCTCTTGCACTTTTCTCCTTGCTGGAGGTGGAGAGGATGCAGTGTCCAGCGCACTCGGGTTTCAGAGTTTTCTGAGGGCAAGAGTTTGGGGGCTCTTCGCCAAGGCTGCCGCCTGCTGCCCTGTCATTGCTGCGGTGACTAATGCTGTGGCTGGAGAACAAGCTGGAAAGTCTTCATTGACATTAGATTTGCTCGCTTTGGCTTGTGCCTGTTTGGACAGAGTAACTGTTATGCCATTTAGAGGTCTCCTACGTTTGTAGAGAGATATTTCTCTCTTCTCTTTGTCCACTACACCATGGGCATTGTTATTCTGGAAAAGGGCGTTTATGGTAAGTCCTGTGAAAGAATGCAACTCCAGCCCCAAACTTGCATAACTTCATGGAAGTATGTGCAGGCTGGCACAGCGCTGGGGGCTTAAATAAACCTCACTGTGCTTAAAAAATAACCTAATTGACCAATGTAAATAAACTTCAGCATAGTTTAGACTAGTCATAAATAAAGCTTTGAAGGCTGGAAAGGACGGAGGTTATGGCAAAATGGAGATTTCCTATGAAAAAAGGGTGTGCTTGAAGCAGGTGCTCAGGCTTCCTGGATCTAGTGTAATGTGGGATAAGATGCAAGGGGGGAAAAAGATGGGAATCTGTGGATCAGATTGGAATCCGTGCGGAGCCCTGGTTGCCTTGTCTCCCTTTGGCCTTTTGCACGGCAGCAATGGGATTTTGAAGGGTTGCGAGAGGACTCGCTGGCTGGGCCGGGTGCCGGCGGCTGCCTCCAATTTGGCTGGAGGTCAAGGAACGCGTGTCTGTCCTCGAGCCAGGGCAGCTCGCTGCCACCAAATGCTCTAACTGCAGCCTGGCGCAAAATCTTGGAGCCCTATCTCGATACCAGGAGCAAAATGAGATTGCTCGGCGGACAAATAGCCCTGATGTCCCTTGGCGAGTCGGGGCGCGGGGCTGGCTGGAGACCTGCAAAGGGATGGGGTCGTGAGGTGGGTTTCTTGGTGCCACGTGCTGCCCTCCAGGGTCAAGGGGAGTGGAGCAGCGGGTCTGGCTCCTGCTCTTTGAAGTGGTTGAGCCCGTGGGACCCTCACCGCAGCCGTAAGGGTGCATTTCGCATCAAGTGTCGGGATGTAAACGTGTGCAAGCGCTTTCCTCTCGGGGCCTCGGGCATGTTTCCAGTGCAGCCAGTGCCTGGCTGGGCTCGTTCGAGGGAATTTTGATTATTTTTCTTCCCCCTTGCTGGAATTCTTTAATCCAGGTTTTCTTTGGTGCCAGCAAGGCTGGGGTCCTGTCCAGGCACTGTTTCCAGTGCTGTTTCTGTGGCATGCAGTCGTCTTCAAGCCTCTTTCTGGGAAGTGTCCAGCTGACTTCTGCAGATTCCAAAGAATGAGGCATTTCGAGCACTTTAAAATATAGCTCCTCCGTCAGGTGCATCTGATCTGGCGAGGCTTTTGCCGCTTTGCGTAGCTGAGCTTTATTTTAGCAAACTGGCAAAACTGCTGAATTTAAACGAGTTCATTGGAAGCAAAATTTTGCATCCTCCAAAAGCCATGCGCACAGTGAGATCAGTGTAAAAACGGATGCGTTTGGCCACTTGCTTTCTTAGAGCACACAGCGTAACTCCAAGCTCATTTTAGTAACGTTTCTTCCAGTTTTGCACTGCGGGGAGGACAGGAGGCAACGCGCGGTGCAAGCGTCGCACAGAATTGCTGCCCTGAGGATTAGATGAATTATCGGGGCAATAATGACTTTACGTGATTATCCGAGACGGATAAGATTACATTATAGTGGCCTGGGAGGAACTGAAGGCATGGCAATGATCATCTCAACTGCTACTGCAGCAAAGGGGAATTGGTGCGTGCTGGAAAGGTGCCTCTGATTTCCCGTGGCTCTTGTGCACAATCCTTCTTGCTCTTGTGCTTCCCTGCTGGTTCTAGGAGGCTGAGGACCCCGTGATTTAATTTGTTGAAGTGTTCTAATTCCCTGCATCATCAGCAAAGAGAACCAAAGCGCAAAAGCCTTCACCCCAAGAGCTGCTGGTGCCATTGGCACCAACATTTTTCAATATACTCAGAAACAAAGTAGGTCTCCCTCATATACGCTTGCTTATAGGAACAGCAGGTCTGTTTTAGCTAGAAATCGGCCTGAAGTCGATACTCACCGTAGGAAACTTCACCGAAGGCAGCTAAATTTTTGGTTTAGCTGTTTAACTGAAAACCGCTCTATCTGTGGTGCATTTCCAGTGTTATTGCTGGATTGCAGTGATGCAATACAGAATCCCAAGCCCTCCCTCTTTCTCTCTTTTTGTCCTCAAAGGCCACAAGTTTCATTTTTGCATTTTCTTCTAACAGTATCTATTAACTTTCCCTTCAAACCGCAGGGTGGGACCTGCCTGAGCTCATTGAAATGTGCCCGATGGCCCGGTGCACCGAGGCTGCCCGGGCCCCCAGACGCAAAGAGCGTTTCTCTATGGAAACGTGGGGAAACCCTATAGCAAAAAGAAGGAAAACTAAAGCAGCGGCCCCAAAGCTGGCAGAGGGGCTGGCAGGGGATGGGAGGATGCGTAGGAACGTGCCAGCTCCCGCTGCTCGCGAGTCCCTCTTGTGATTGCACAGTCTTTGTGAAGTTAAACCATTTGCGGTTATGTTTTGAGCAAGGGCGCCTAAAAATACACCTTTTCGTGGTGAGAATGTATCCATCTTTGGCTCCCAGCGATTTGATCTCCTGCAATCAAGGAGGTGTCTGCTCCAAGGATGCCTCCCCAGAGGCTGCCTCCTGCTTTCCCAAGCGAGCGTGGTATCTGCTGCCTTTATCAGCAAATAGTCGGCATTTTTTTTCCAGACCTGCATAAAAATAAGCCTCGTTGTGCTCTCCCTGTGGGGGGGTGGTTTATTAGAACAGCTCCGTCTCTCTGGGTTTTGCCATCCAGCGTTGCTTCCTTTGGGGAGCCACCGCTCCGATGGGTTTTGTCTCTTCAATCTGGGCTGTACTGTGGTTTTAGGTGGCGTTTTTGGCCACGTGCCTGTACAGGGCAGAGCTGAAGCTTCTTTTCTGAGTTTTGCAGCCAACCCAGTTGCCTTTATGAGCTGCATTTTTAATTTGTTTCAGAAAGATTCTCCAGGATCTTGTTTTGCATAGGATTCTTGCTGTGGCTCGCTATGCTGTGGTCCTTCTGGTCAATATTCAATCCTGTAGCAACTGTTTTCTAACTCAACCTAAATTTCAAAAATTTAATTTGCTCAGACTTTTCTTTAGGATCTAAGGTGTTAATTCTTCCTAAAACTCCATAGGGAGCACCGTTCAGGCTTGATGATTTTAAAGCGTGAAATCCAGTGAGTGTTTTTAATCCCTCCGTTAATTATTGCTGAAGTAGCATGAAACAAATGTGCAGTGTGAATAATTACCTGCTTTTTTTTCCTCCTCCAGTTACAGAACAAAAACACTGTGGAACAGTCTGAGCATCTAATAAGGCCCGCAGCGCTGGCTGGTTTCTGACACGTGAAGTGTTTCCTGCTATTGCTCCCTCGTTCTTTATTAATTGTCGGAATTTCATAATTGCTGACTTGGTTACTGAGTTAAGCTCCGCTGCTTGCAGATGAGAGCGAGTCCTCAAGGAAGGAAGCCCCTGATTCCTCCCATGAGTTTGTGCTGGTGCCTCTTGCTGGGAGGGAGGATGGGGGCCGCTGTGCCCAAATCTGGGCATTTCTGGGCTCGCGCTGGCTGAACTCTGGCTGCTCCCGGCGGAGCTGTCAGCGCGCGGGGCTCTATCGTCCATCTCGCGCGCGCTGCCGCGTCTAGGGGCCCCGCTCGTAGGAGGCAGGAAGTTAAACGCCAGTTCCAGCTTTCCTTTTAAAAAGGAAAAGCAAGTTTTTGGTCTTCTGTAGCTGAGAGAGAGGCAGGAAAATGACTCCAAAATACTTAGTGAGCAATAATGCATTGCTTCCTTGCTCTTGAAATGTCAAGCCTTGAAAACCAGTGATTTTTTTAGAAAGCTTGGAGTTACCAAACAAGCTGTAGTCGTGGTCTCTGCGGGTCTCCACGGTCACAGGCTTCCCCTCCTCCTGTTACTTAGCAGTAGTCCAGCCTGTCAAAACCCATAGCGCCCCAGAGTACCTAAATATGGGGTGAATCTACAGCTTTAAGTGATGGACATGCCACAAGCTCCCGCGTTGGAGCAGGGACTGGGTCATTCAGACCGACCTTCTGCAGCCCGTGGTGGCTCATGGCCGATGCCTGTCGGGCTCTGGACTGTGCCACCCACACGAGCTCCTGGCTTATCTGGTGGCAGGGCCTTGCCTGGCTGCTCGCCTGCGCCGGGGGTCCTTATCTCACTTGTAAAAGTGTTTGCCATGCTTGGAAATGTAAACATCTCCTCCCAGGCTTGGTTCCTGTGCTGTTCGTGCTCTGGCTTGGGAAGCTGCACCTTGTTTTTTTGACATTTTTCACCCACATCGGTCTGCACAGGACGCTCTAGATGCGTGGCTTGCGAAGAGACCCACCTTCCACGTGCTCCCGGAGCAGGGCTCGTCGCTCTCCTGGCCAGTGTGGTCACGGCATGTGACCAATAGAGAGGAGACCTTGCAAGACGAGGTGCAATCCCCATCGCACCTCCTTGCAGGGAGGAACCAGCGTGGTGCTGGCGAGGCCCGTGCTGAAGCGAGGAACAGCAGGACGGGTGTTTGTTCGAATGAGCTGCTTGGGGCTGGAGGAGATTGCTGGCCCCGCTCCTGCCCGGGGAGCTGGTGCACCCAGCACAGGAGGGAGGAACGTGGATGTCTCGGGTCTCTTCTAAATTTCTGGTTTTAAGAGTTTCCTTTAAGCTTTGATGAGCCCAAAGGGTTTCTTGTAAGGGAGATAAATCATCTTGTAAATAAGAGTCTGCAAATGGGCCTCGAGAAGCAGCCGTTGTGTAAGGGGAGCTTTTTCTGCTGGGCCATTTGGTAATTGATGTAGTCGGTATCAGTTCGGGTTCCTCCGGAGTTTCATGTGGAATTAGTGTCCCTGGGGCCGGGGAGGCGGCTGGAGCTGGCGTGCGCGTCCCGCTCCGCGAGCGAGAGCAGCGAGACGTGGAAATGGCCAAAGGAGCCATCGGGATGTGTGATAGGAAATGGCAAGCGGCAGACGGGATTTATCATGGAACATCGGATGTTACTGGAACAAATGCTCTATGATAAGTGGGTTTGCTGTGATCCAGGGATGATTTCCAAGCTGCAGTCTTCACCCTGTTCTGCGGCTCTCGCAACACGGATATTTTTAGGTTGATGCCCATTTATACCCGTCAGTACATGCCACCGTCAGAGTCACTTACCAAAATTAAACCTGAAGTTGGATGGGAATATAGACACTGACCTTGTCGGTGCAAACCAAAATCATATCCTACTCCAGACAAACACATGTACCTCAGATGAGGCTGCGTTTTTGCACATGTGAACCCTGGAAGAGTTTTAAGAAGTGCTGCTAAACTGAGGAACGGGCACTGACACTCCAGGCTATTACTGCTTTCCTTGGTGCTTCCCAGGGCCCGGAGCAGCGATGCCCAGGGCAGAGCTCGGTGCAGACAGTGCTGTAGTGCTGGGAAGCCCGAGGCGGATCCGTTCCCGGGGCCGCAGAGGGGGATGCAGCCCTTGGCACCTCTGGGCAGCCCGTGCTCCCGGGGCTCCTTCCCTGCGGAGCCGCCTGCAGCTGGCTGGCTCCCCGGGCGATGCCGGAGCCGCGTCTTTTTCCTCCTAGCGCATATTTTATTTATTTTCCATGCTGCCTCCTCAGCTAGCAGAGCGGCAGCGGGAGCTGCTTTTGCCTCCTAGCTAAATCCTAGGGTGGTTTTCTGAACTTTTTTTTCTCTCTTCTGTGCTGAGAGGAAAACGAGTATGGGATGGAGGGGCACAGGGGCTGCCTGAATTTAGGTGCCATTAAAAAATAACGAGCTGATTGGTATTCTGCCAGCACAGGCTGTCCGTGCAGCGTTCCCGGCGTTTCATCCCTTTCTGACGGGGGATGCTGGCGAGCAGAGCTGAATCCGTACCTGCTGCAGTTCAGAGGGGTTAGAGGAAAATCAGGGCATCTTTATTCAGCTCCGTCTTTTTCAGATGCTTGTGAACATGGGGGCATGATGAATGAGAAGACACCAGCTCTCCTCTTCAATACCAGCTTTGCTGCCAGGTTTAGTTAAGGGAAAAATCTTGTCCTCCACTAAAAGAGTGTAGGAACCAGGGGGCAGGGAAGGAAAACATGTTTCCAAGCATTTTGGGGATTTTCTTGCTTTTCCCACAGTTCCCATCGCACTCCATCTGATACCTAATTTTCCTCCAAAGCAACAACGTTACTCTCCGTTAAGCAGCATATGTTGCTGTTCTCCAGGCAGGGCAGTTTTACTGCCCTCCTGGTAGGAGGGGGCTGCACGATGGTGCTTATACCAGCTGGCATTATTGCAGTGGAAGACCCTGTCTTTAAGTGTATTTAACCAGTTTCCCATTAACCTGGAGTCAGTGGTAAGGCTCAGATGAAATGGGTATTTTCTAATTGATGAGAGGAGCATGTTTATTCTGTAGGCTGTGTGATATTCAGGGATAGTCTTTTCCATGCAGTTCTGAAATAATTTCTTGCAATTATACATCCCCTGGGAAAAAACATTGGCCTTTCTCAAGAAAAGGGAAGGGCTCAGCTCTGCCCTCTCAACATGTTTTAGGGTGTCTCTTCTCCTCCCTTGAGTCCGTCTGTGCCTCGGTGTGATGAGCAGCCCACAGACCAGAGAGTTGCTGAATTGCCTCTTCATCGAATTCCCTTCCTCGCTAGTCTGTTATTAAATTATGGTTAGTGTTTCATTAGCGAGCCCCCGTGGGCATGAGTTCATTAGTGTTTTATTGGTTCGGGCTGCGCCTCGTTGCGCTGGGAACGTATTGCAGAGCGCGCCCGCGCCAATGAGCCGTGGTCCGGGGCAGCAGGCGCGGCGGCTTCCCGAGTGCTCCCGCACGGATTTGCAAGGACGCTTGGCGCTCATCTGGGCACCGGAATAAAGGGCTGGATTTATGAGGGTGCTTGATGAATCCGGCTGCTGGTCCTGCTGAGATTTGCCTGTTTTGTTCCCCTCGGTTCGGCTCCGGGCCCCTCGAGGGACTTTGGCTCTGCGCGGAGGAGCATTTGCCCCTGGGCTCGCTCCTCTGCGGGCGACAGGAGCGGCACGAGCCCAGGACGTGCTGTCCGTGACAGTGCACAAGCCTCTCCGAGGAGCCCCGCGCTGGTCCTGTCCCAGCGACACGGGTGTCGTGTTAACGTCTTTGCTGGAAGGTGCTCGCCTGGCCGCGCTCCTCCTCTGGGGCTGTTACTGCACCGTGGCCTGGCTAAAAATAGTTTCCCTAAGCCTGGGAGATTTTTCAGGTTTGCTGTCTCTTCTAAACCCAAATTAATCGGCACTTGGGCTAGCACAGAATAGAAAACCGCTGGTTTCAGCAGCTGGGAAATGAAAGCTGGTGTTTGTAATTGATGAGCGTGAGGAGCAATCACTCGGGATGCAATGTCCTAATGGGAGCAACACGGGGCTGGGGAGCTGGCACGATGGCACAGCCGGCAGCTCTCTGTCAGGGGGAGAGAAGTAGTGAGCTAAGCTTGGAAGAGGTTTGAATAATCACTGCAAATGATTACACAGGAGCTCTCCTTTTTGGGGTTGAATCGGGGCCCTCGGGTAGGCACTGTGTTTGGGGTACCTCAGCGTGACCGCAGTGTCCGGGTGCTCGGGTAGCTGCGGGGGCCCTCGAACGCGGCGCTGCGTTTCCCAGCAGAGAGGGGCAATGCGAGAGGCCGCTCAGTCCTGTGCCGCCCCCGGCACCTGCCCTGGCGTCTGCGGGGCGCCTGGGGCCGGGGTCTTTTCTGAGTCACCTCCCCTCCCCGTCGGCAACTTCAAAAGCGCTTTGAGGAATTGTATTTTCGGGGCTTTTATCATTAAATTACAGGTCAGGGCCAGCAGCTTTTCCTGCCCGTCGGCCCCAGCTGCCAGAGCTAATACGTCAGGCCGGGCTGCGCGTGTCACATGAGGGCTCGTCACAGGAGCGGGGCCGCGCGGCAGAGCCGGGCCCGGGTGTCCCTTTGCGGCAAGGCTGGTTAAGTAAAAAGAGGATTAATTGAATTCCTCTTCCGTGGGAGCCAGCGGGGAGGCCGGTGAGGGCTGTTATTTCACTGCGGGTCTCTGTAACAAATTCCCTGAGTTCCAAGCCAGCCAATTTCCCGCTGCTTCTACAGTGCAAAAGTGGCCGGGCTTAGGAGAACCGTGTTCGCTCCCTGAGAGCGGACCAGAGCGTTGGGGTTATTTGCTGATCTTGTTTAGTTTCTGTCCAGTGACTTTTCATTGAAGCGCTCGCTATCGCTACGCCGTCCCCACCAGGGATGCACACAGCATCCTTGGCAGGGTCTGCGTTGTGGGAACCTTCCCTTCCAGCCCTCTCCAGAGCTTTTTCCACCCATGGGGATTAACTCAGCCTTTCCCTGCTCCTCTCTCCAGTACGAGTTTAAAGCCAAGAACATCAAGAAGAAGAAAGTGAGCCTCATCGTCTCGGTGGACGGCGTGAAGGTCATCCTGAAGAAGAAGAAGAAGGTAGGCGGCTCGGCTCGCGTGCCGGCGCCGTCCCTCTGCGTGGCAAGGACGGGAGCTGGCAGGTGGAGCCCCGCGCTCCTCCCTGCCGTGGGGCGCGCGGCCCTGGGGCCCTGGAGCACCCAGGGACAGGGTGGTTGAGGGAGAGCCCCGCGGGCTGTCAGGGCCCCCGGTTGGCCCCTTTCAGTGCTGTTCTCAAGCCCAAGGACAGCATCTGACGTGCTCATTTTCAGCTTCTTTCATTGCAGAAAAAAGAGTGGGCCTGGGATGAGAACAAGATGCTCATCATGCACGATCCTATCTACAGGTGAGGCTACCTCGCAGCGATCCCCTCCACCCACCTCCTTTCCCCGGGTCCGGCTGGCCTGGGCAGTTGGGGCCACGGAGCCCTTCCCAGCGATCCCAGTTGGAGCAGCAAAGCTGATTTCCTGCTGGAGATCGGGGGAGAGGTGGAAGGGGTCATCCTCTGCCCGGGAGCCTCTGGGATGGCTCTGGGCGGCTCCAGTGGGTCCCTGTGCCCAGGCTGTGGCTGTGCTGAGCTGCGCTGGCCTGCGCTGTCTTGGGGAAATT